TGCCTGGCAGTGCTCAAAAAAAAAATCTGCTGATTGGATGCATGTCAGATGGATAGATGGACGGAGAGATGGATAATAGAATAAAGAAAAAATCATCTCTCAAAGTGAACCCTCAAAGTTTTAGGGCCCGAAACATTCGAGAAACTAATTGGCTTCTATTTCTAAAAGATCATGTCACAGGCTTATTAAGACCTTCTCCCTTCCTCAGGAGGAGCTAGAGAGTAATTAGGCCTGCAGCCCCATCCAGTCTAGGGTCTAAGATATTGGTGACCATCGCGTGCAGATGGTACCACATTTCTCCCTGTTACATAAATTGCTGAAGTACAAAAGCCACGGTCTCAAGAAGACAGAGGAAATGTAACAACCCCAGTGAATGGCTGGAAAGCATTCCAGGATCAAGCTCCCAAGAGCATTTTGTGCACCACCTCAGAGTGGTATCTCTGAGGTGCACAGCCTCTGACACTACAGTCCAGCTTAACTGTCCCGAGTCCACAACATGAGATGTCACAGTGCTGACAGTTATAAACTGCTGTGGCAAGACTGGGCTGTGGGATCCCACTGTTTTTCCAGTGACATCAATATATATATATACTAGGAAATGCTGAGGAAGAGAAAGAAACTCAGCATAATTTTGGAACCCTAGGCTGCCTGCTAATTAATTGAAAAGCCTGACATTTATACAATGCTTTAGAATTTAAAAACACCTTCATATTTCCACTCTCATTTAATCCTTACAACATTCCCATGAAAAAGATAAAATATTATCATCTCTGTTCTGGCGTGGAAATCTGGAATCAGGAACAACCGGCAAGTCACATCTTCTGACCCCTTGCTCTCTTCTGGGTATACCTTCAAGTGAACTGTACCTTTCCAGTTCTTAAACCAGGTTTTTTTTCTTTCTCAGCATATGGTCATGAGAAGCATGCCAATTTATGGGGAACAAGTAAAATTTATGGGAAGTGAAAAACCTCTGCAGGCATTCTCCTCTCACCTCCCTCCCTGCCCCTGCACTAGAGGTGGGCAGAGTGGGCGGAGGGGAAACGAAGCAGCAGCAGGGACCGACAGGACAAGAAGACACACGACGAGGTAAGTTCAGGGTCCGTCGCTCCAGCAAGTTCTGCCCAAACCTGCAAAAGCTTCTGCTCAGGGACCAGCCCTGCTAGAGAAAGCAATCCACGACACTTTTGATACAGCAAAGGAGAATGTTAAATACGTAGATACGGGCCAATGTGAAAGTCGTGGGATTCCGGGTAAATTTGGGCCTGATCTTCCTGACACCCTGCATCTCCTGAGCCCATCCCTCCTCTGCAGCTGAGTTCACCCCCTCACTGCCTCTCATCTAGCCAATGAGAATCGTCTCCTAACTTGTTTCTATGCTTCAGCTTTCCCTCCTTCCAGTCCACCTCCTACACGATCACCAATGCAATCCTCAGATGTCACCTCTTCTTGGCATCTTCCTTGGCCTCTCCCACCCTAGCCTTTTTGGAATTGCCCCATCTCTCCTATGCTTGGATAACACCTCCCCAAGGTGGGGTTTCTCCCCAGGTTTACCATAAGCTCCCCTAGGCAGCAGTCTTGTCTGCACACAGTGTAAAGTCTTAGATGTAGAAGATATTTGATAAATGTTGATCAAATTGAGCCCATTATGCTTTATTTCTGGCCTTAACATCTAGCTTGTTAGGGAAGCAGAAGGCTCAGTGGGCCACAGTGAGCAGCGTCTCTGGAAAGGATGGCTGGGACTCAACACCGAGGAGCCACCACACCTGTGTGGCTGTACAAGGTTCTCCAGCCACCCTCTGCTCACCGCAAGGCAGGTGGAAGGTGACCAACACCTTCTCCTCTTTCTTCAAGGGATTTCAAATTCTCACATGGGAACTATACAAGCATGCTTCTTTGCCTTGTCCCAAAGGCTCTGTGTTTATGTGCACTAGCTGTGGTTCTAGGAGGCCACCAAAAGGGGAAATGGGTAGATGGGCGGCCCTTCTCATTTCAACCCTTCAAAACCAAGGGGAAAAAAAGTCACCTGAAAATTACTCCCTTGCCCCATTTGCTATTAACAGAGTTCATTCTGTAGCCAGTGTACTGCTGGTATTTGTGAACCACTCAGTTTCCCTCTGCCAACAGGAAGGTTGCTCGGGATCTGCTGGCCCCTCACAGCTGGAGATCTTCCCAGGGCCAGATCTCATGTTGTCACAGTTTTCTCAATCAAAATAGAACGCCCAATAGTGACCCATCCCAAGTACTACAGCAAATAACAATAACTGAGAACATGCATGATGCAGAGAGCTTCACAACATCACTGCTGCTTCTCCCTCCAGCTCTCTCCTATTACTGGTCCAATCTGACCACGTGGGAGTATCAATCCACCATCCCACCACCTCTCATGGCCCTCCACTCCCTCAGCGCCCCCACCCCTCCTCACCCAACTTATGGCCACGACCACTCTCCACCATAAACTCAACTCCCTTACCCCCTTCATGCTTTGTTGAACTTTTTGGCCTAAACCCAACCCTGTGCACACAAATGGGTGCATAAATGTGCATAGCAGCATTATTCACAATAGCCAAAAAGTAAAACTAACCCAAGTATCCATCAACTGGGGAAGACGTAAACAAAATGCTTATATCCATATAATGGAATAGTATTCAACAACAAACACCGACTGATACATGCTATAACATGAATGAACCTCCAAAAAATGCAAAGTGAATGAAACCAGATACAGAACCTCACATATTATATAATTCCATTTATATACATACAGCTTGGTAAATTTACTACTAATTATTGAATTGTACACTTAAAATGGGTGGATTTTATGGTATGTAAATTATACTTCTACAAATTTATTTAAAAAATTTAACAACAACTCTGGTTAAATTCACCTGTTCTGTGATTCAGCACCGGGGCTATCTCTACAGCTGGAGAAGAAAAAGGCAACTACACTGGCCCCACTTAAAACTCACGTGGGTTCTTGATCCTGTCTTCTAATCATACTGTATTTCTCGAGCTCCTTTTGTCTCCTACTCTCCTCAATTATTTACCTCTCCTCAAATCTCCAACACCTCATCCCCATATAGTCCCTTCTCACCTGATAATCCTACTTCCTGTTTCACCGAGAAAACAGAGGCCATCAGAGGAGAACTTCCAGACTCCTATTATCACACCAGCCTGCCGCCAGTTCCTAATCTGCTCTATCTAGCAGGCATGTGTGGCTATTTAAATTAAGATTAAATAAAATTAAAAATTCAGTTTCTCATGCAGAGTAGTCACATTTCAAATGCTTACTAGCTCCATGCAGCTTGTGGCTCCAATACCGGACAGTGCAGATACAGAACCTCTTCATCACTGCACAGAGGGTCTATCTACTGCCCATCTATTCAAAACATCTCTACTTACAGGTACGTTTCCTCCCACCCACCCCAAGGGCACTGCTCCAGCAATTCCTTCCTTTCTCCTACATGATCAATTTTCAGCTAAGAGATCATTTCCATCAGCATATAAACGTGATTGTTATTGAAATAGATAAAAGATAATGGCATTCTCAACAGAAACAAGAAATAACGAATATGTGACATGATAAAGGTGTTAGCTGATGCAACTGTCATAATTATACAGCAATCATGAATGTATCAAACCAACATGTGTACACTTTAAACTTACAAAACGTATGTGGTAATTTTTAAAAAAAGATAACGGTAATGATTGCACAACAGTGTAAATAAAATTAATGCCACTGAATTGTACACTTAAAATAGTTAAAATGGCAATTTTTTTTTAAGATTTAATTTATTTGAGAGAGAGAGAGAGAGCACACAAGCAGGGGGAGCAGGAGAGAGAGAAGCAGACTCCCCGTTGAGCAGGGAGCCCAACATGGGGCTCAATCCCAGGACCCTGGGATCACGACCCAAGCCAAAAGCAGACGCTCAACAGACTGAGCCACCCAGGCACCCCTAAAATGGCAAATTCTATGTTTATATATATATAAATATATATATACACACACATACATGCATATTGTATATATACTAACACAATTTTAAAAAGATTTAAAGGATAAAATCTTCTCTCATCATCCCTTACCCTACAGTACCCACTACCAGCGATGGCGTTTCTCTGCTTCCCTTCAGAGCAGAACTTTTCAGAAGACTTCTCTATGTTCGCCATCTCCAATTCTACTTTTGCTCTCATGCCCCTCATCTCCCAAGTCACCATGCCCCTACCACTCCACCAAAATTGCTTTTATCGGCTGCCTAACCCAATTGGACTTTATTTTTTATGGGCAACTTTATTCAACTTTATCAGCAGCTTCTGAGCACTCCCTCCTCCTAAAAACATCTTCCCTGTTTCTGAGTCCCAGACCTGCCTCTCAGGACCTGGTCCTCTACCTTTTGCTTTCTGCCTGGACTCTGCCCACCAGGCCTCCCTGGACCTCTACCCACAAACCACCTGACTCCTCCAACTCAACCCCATTACTCCTTCACCTGAACGTCCTAACTCCTCTCTTGTCATCAGTTCTTAGGCCCTTCTGAAGAGCCAGACAAGCCCCGGTCTCTTTGGTCCCTCTATTTAAGATCGAGTAAGGCCTGTCCCTTCCTTGACTGAGGCTTGATCCTAAAAATAATGGATATGAACTTCTAGCTCTTTAAAGGACATAGTCAATCTTCCCAACAGTGTTATAATACTCTCAGTAAGACAACTAAAGTTGATTGCCAGAAGTAATCCATGTCACACATTTATTTGCATTGTCTTCAGTGGATCTGTTTTAGTTAGATTCTTTTATTTGGATGATACCTGAATAAACTTTGCACTCAGTGCCTAGAAAAAGAGAGCACTCTTTTAGATTTCTCAGGAAACTGGACAAGAATAGAAGATGTGTTTGGGCCCAAATAAAAATAAAAGGAAATGATGGCTATTACAGTCAGCCCAGGACTGGAAGTTATTCAATCAAGATTCTAATTTTCACCCTTACTAGTCCTAGTACATCTCTAGCCACATACCTAGAAGCATCAAGGAATGGTCTGTAGGCCAAGCTGATCCATTCTTCTCTATTTGATGAATATTTCGGCTCCCGGGGTGTTTCTCTCGTGGTGTCCAAATCCACTAAATAATGGCATTTACTGATGTCAATCTGCAATGCGGAAAGGCCAACCCTTCATTAGTAACTGCAAAGGTCTTTTCAGGATAAGGAACATCAATTACAATCCTAAAAATTCCCACAGGGTTTCAGAAACACAAACCTCCAAGTCCTTGGACAATATTACCTGTGCTCTTTCCCTTCAGGTAAGAGTGTTGGGTTCTGGGGAATTATTTAGGCTCCTGGTTGCAGGGGTGAGACATGCACCCACCTAGCCAAATATATATGCAAGCTTTGGGAGTTCTGACCCTAGTTTGAGTATTAAGTTCCCCTGGCCTCACAGATACTTCTGAAGCTAGCATGAGTCCACAACCTACTAAAAAAAACTCTCTTCTTCCGCTATCATTCCCTTCCAATCTGCCACCTCTTATCTCAGAGATTAAAAGGGCATCACCTAAACACATGCTAATGTGTGAGGAAGCCCCATCTCTGCGGATAGAGCCATGTGAGGTCACCCTACTACACCTCAGAAGTGGTACAGCACTATCACGGATCATCATCTCCTTCAACAATTCAACAGAACTGATAGAGACATGGGAACTGCCATTGCAGCAAAAGATCAGTAAAACTGAGATATCAGAACTGTGAGAGTGGAGAAGGTTACAAAAAATATATAGCAACTATTAGCAAAACTGTAGTCATCCAGTTGCCTACAACATGGATACATCAGAGCACCATAGCTAATTATGAGGATATTAATACATTTCACTTAAAACTATATCAGTACTGTGCTTCTCACAAAATTGATTAATTCAATGGAACATGCTACAAAATCTGAAGGCTGCTACTGTTGTTAAATAGTTCCTTTCCAACTAAAAAAATTTGTATTTCTAACCAAAATCACAAGTATATGACAGAGCCAGATATGGACTCAAGTCAGTGTGACTTCAAAAATCATATCAAGACTGCCCCAAATGACTGAATCAGAGGGAAAGTGCTCTCAGGAGCTCAACGAAATGTTTTTTTACAAAATAAAACCAATAGAGAGTCCTCCTAGAATGCCAGGTATCAGCTAAGATAAAGGCCATTAGAAACATGAATAGATCTACAGCAAATCTCATATTAAAGGGTTTGAAAGTTTTTCCCTTGGGATCAGGAATCAGTCAAGACTTATCACTACTCTATTCAATACTGTACTAGAGATTCCAGTCAGCAGGGTAAGGTAAGAGAAAGAAATGACAGAAGAAATGGAAAGAGATAACAAAACTCATTCATCACAATGATATGATTGGTATATATAAAATCTGGTTACCTAATAAATTTTTGGAATTCAGAGAGTTTATCAAACTTTAGATTTATAGGATGTAAAAATCAATGTCATATATTCCTATAGAACAATAGACAAGAAAGAAAATGTTTTTAAATTATGTATTTTCAAGTTATATTATAAAAATATAATTCATGAGAATTTGAAAATGTATGCCTTGGAATAAATCTAACAAAAATATGGGAAAGTCCTCTATAAAAAATTATGGAATTTTATTGACAAATGTCTGTCAACTGATCAATTTATAATGTGCTATATTCATATAATTAAAATGTGGTAAATACGTGCAATGAAATATTATTCAATCTTAAAAAGGATACATTGCATAACATGGATGAACCTTGAAAACATGATGCCAAGTGAAAGAAGCCAGCCACAAAAGACCACATGTGGTGTGACTCCATTTCCATGAAATGTCCACAACAGACAAATCCACTGAGACACAAAGCAGATTAGTGGTCGCTAAGGACTGGAGAAGTGACCTGCTTAATGGGTATGGGGTTTTCCTGGGGTGAGGGGTGGGGGAGGACGAAAATGTTCTGAAATTAGATGGTGGTTATGGCCTCACAAGAGTATGAATGTAAACACCACTGAACAGTGCACTTTAAAATCACTGCTTACCCTAAGATCCAGCAACTCCATTTCTAGGTATGTACCCAAAAGAATTGAAAGCAGTGACTCAAAACAGATATTTATATCCCAATGTTCACAGTGGCATTATTCACAACAGACAAAAGGTAAAAATAACCCCAAAGTCCATCGTGGAAGAATGGATTAAAAAACTATCTAATGAGTACCAACTTTCAGTTTGAGATGATTAAAAAAGGTCTAGAGATAGAGTGGGGATGATTATATAACACTGTGAATACGTTTAATGCCACTGAATTGTACCCTCAAAATGGTTAAAGTGGTAAATTTTATCACAGGAATTTGTTAAAATGAATTTTAATCTCAAAAAAATTTTTGACAATATAGTATTAAATGGAGAGATAAACCTTATTCCTAATCAATCACTGTTATAAAGATGTAAAGCCTAAATAAATTGATCAATATAGTAAATGCAATCTCAAAAATCCCATCAGACTTTTTTTATGAAACTTGATAAGCAAATTCCAAAATGTATATGGAAACGTATAAGGACAGCCAAAGCACCATTAGGAAAGAAAAGCAAGGTGGTGGGCTTACTTGCTATAAATTTAGAGTAATTAAGACAAGAGGTGTTTAGTGCAGAAACAGACTGAGAGACTGATGAAGAGAATAGAACCTAGAATGGATGCAGGCAACATGGACCCTGATTCATGACAGAGTGACACCTCAGGTCAGTGGGGAAAGGATGGGCCCTTCACTGACTGGTGCTGAAACAACTGGGTATCCACTGAGGGAAAAAATAGACCTCAACCTCACTCCACTCACAAAAACCAACTTCAGATGGATTACAGAAGTACATGAAAAAGGCAAAATTACAAAGCTCTTGAAAGATAACATTGGAGAAGATCTTACAGAAGTCTTTTTAGACAAGACACAAAAAGTATTAACTACAAAAAAAGGATAAATTTGACTACATTAAAATATCTATTCATCAAAGACACCCTTATGAGAGTGAAGAGACGATCCACAGAATGGCAGAAGAAATATGTAACACATTTAACCATCAAGGATTCATATCCAGAATATATAAATAATACCTTCTAGTCAGCAAGACAAAGACACACCACCCAATAGAAAAATGGGCAATGACTTTAACAGGTACTTCATAAGAAGAAATCTAAATGGCCAAAAACAAATGAACAAGTGTTCAACCTCATTAGTAATCAAGGAAATGCAAACAAAATCACAATGAAAACTTACAATACCAAGTGTTGGCCAGAATGTAGAGCAACTCTATTCACTGCTGAGAGATTAGATTGGTACAAGATTTTTAGAAAATTATTTCACACAATCTACAAAAATTGAACATATACATTTGCTATGATCCAACATTTGTACCCCCAGGTTTTAGACTGAACAATATGAAATAATATTTCACTGTTTAATCCACAAAATTGGTAATTTCACTGTGGTGCAAGCTAATATATATCCAACAGAAATACACGCACCAAAAGACAATTCAAGAATGTTCAATGCTTTATTTGCAGTTGGCCCAGACTGGAAACAAGCAAACATCCATCAACAGTAAAATAATACATTGTGGTGTAGTCACACAAGGATATACTACACAGTAACAAAAGAGAACGAACTACAGCTATATACAACAACATATGCGATTATTACTGACACAGTGTTGAGGGAAAAGATCAAGGTGCCCCAAAAAATACAGTATGATTCCATGTATATGAAAGTTCTAAAACACTCAAAACTCATTTAAATCGTTTGGGAATGCATATAAAAGCGGTAAATCTGAAGAGAAAAGCAGGCAAATTATTACCATAAAAAGTCAGTTGACCCTCTGGAAAACAGTATGGAGGTTCCTCAAACAGTTGAAATTAGAGCTACCATTCGATCCAGCAATTGCATTACTGGGTATTTACCCCAAAGATACAAATGTAGGGACCCGAAGGGGTACGTGCACCCCAATGTTTATAGCAGCAATGTCCACAATAGCCAAACTGTGGAAAGAGCCAAGATGTCCATCGACAGATGAATGGATAAAGAAGATGTGGTATATATATACACAATGGAATATTATGCAGCCATCAAAAGGAATGAGATCTTGCCATTTGCTACGACGTGGATGGAACTGGAGGGTGTTATGCTGAGTGAAATAAGTCAATCAGAGAAAGACATGTATCATATGACCTCACTGATATGAGGAATTCTTAATCTCAGGAACAAACTAAGGGTTGCTGGAGTGGTCGGGGGTGGGAGGGATGGGGTGGCTGGGTGATAGACATTGGGGAAGATATGTGCTACGGTGAGCGCTGTGAATTGTGTAAGACTGTTGAATCACAGATCTGTACTTCTGAAACAAATAACGCAACATATTTTAAGAAAAAAGAAAAAGAAGAAGATAGCAGGAGAGGAAGAATGAAGGGGAGTAAGTCAGAGGGGGAGACGAACCAGGAGAGATGATGGACTCTGAAAAACAAACTGAGGTTTCTAGAGGGGAGGAGGGTAGGGGGATGGGTTAGCCTGGTGATGGGTATTAAAGAGGGCACATTCTGCATGGAGCACTGGGTGTTATGAACAAACAATGAATCATGGAACACTATACCAAAACAAATTATGTAATATATGGTGATTAACATAACAATAAAAAATTAAAAGATTAAAAAAAAAAAGTCAGTTGAGTTCCCCTGAAGGGGGGAATAGGTAGTGATCAAAAGGAGTTGCTGCAGGAGTTCTGGGTGGGAGTGATGCTGTAGTATGTGACCTTGGTGATGCTTACACAGGTACTTGGTTCTAATATTGTTGATTACTGTACACTTGTGTTTTGTGCACATTTAAGCTTATGGGTTATACACAACTGAAGGTTTTAAAAAGTGCCTTTAAGAACAACTTGTTCATTTCTAGCCTGCAGTAAACTCTGTCCTTCCCCCCACCTCTAATTCACAGTACTGTTCCCATTCTCTCCTAGCGTTATTTATATGTAAAAGAGTCTCACATCTGTCTCTACATATGGGCTATTCCTCCAGGGGAGAGAAGGCACACTGGGAATTGACGTCAGACCCAATTCCATTCCACATAACTCTAAAAATGATTCTTCGCATAAACACTTCAGGAAGCAGAC